CTGCGCCCCCTGCACCCCCTGCGCCCCCTGCGCCCGCCGCCGCTCGCCCCCCACGACCCCCACGCCCCCCACGGCCCGCAGCTCGCGGCGAACGTCAACAGAGCCAACCACTTCTTCCACTTCGACGGTGAGCGTTTCGTGACTTATGTACAGGTAGCGGGCCCTGGCTGTGCTGTGCTGAGCTGTGCTGTGCTGTGCTGTGCTGTGCTGTGCGGTACGGTTTACGTGGCCGGCTGATTTCAGTTGCTCCGAATGTTTTACTTAGTTTTCGGAAGATGATGTTTACATTTGTAGTGACATCTCTGTAGGAGCAGCAGTGGATCTCGACTACCGCGACACTTGTGAAATAGCCTCACGTGATATTATCTCGTGCAGCTGCCGCTCCCTTATTCGTCAAAATATAACGCTATCGAGATGACAGCGTCCCGGTGAGGGAGGCGCTGCTGTCGCGGTCACTTGTGTCTGTATATTTAAAACCTACGCGGACATAGATAAGGTCACAAAAGAACAAAAAATAACATGACAGCTACGGAACGATAAAAAGCTTGTGTCACTTTTTTGTCAGCGAGCTATGATAATTAAGTTTGAGTTATGATGACCGGGTGGGGGGCACCGATGACATGACAGAATGTATGACATCAGTATAAAATGAAAACAAACGTGAGTAAATCGAGTAGAAGCGGGTGATGTGGTGTGTGGCGAGCGGGCGACCGGCCGCGCTGCTCGTGCGGCTAGTGCTGCTGCTGCTGGCGCTGCTGGTGTCTGTGCTGCTGCTGCGGCTGCTGCGCTGGCACGCGCCAGGTGCATCCTGCGCTCGAAGCGTTACTATGTTAGAGCATGCACCGCAGAGGGGGGAAGCACGGGGTGCAAGGTAAGAGGGTAACGTGTGGTGTGTGCAGGGTCCCGCTACGTGTCGTGGCTGCCGAGCTTCTCGGTGGAGGTGCGGCGAGTGCGCGCCGACGCGCCGCCCGACCGGCCCGCGGACTCCCAGCTCGAAGCCATGGCCCGCCAGGTGACCTTTTACTTTACCAAACGACGACACTTTATTCTTGACTATGACACCTTCTTGATAAAAATTTGTTTAATTGAATTAGACAATTGTTATTTGTATCGGGCAACCGTCCGGTAAAATGTGTAAAGGCGGCGGCGAGGGTGAGATGGCTTAATGAGGGAGGTGTGCAGGTGCAGCAGGTGTTCCCGCAGTTCTCGCTGGACGCGCTGAGCGAGGACCTGGCGCACACGCGCTCGCCCGACCGCACCGTCGACAACATCCTGGCCGGCCGCCTGCTGCCCCACCCTCACCAGCACCACCAGCAACACCAGCATCACCAGCGACACGGTCGGTCGCCGCACTCCTACATCGTCATGGAGCTGCTATCACATCTATTTATCTATTTATTTAATATAGTACATGTTTATAATATTTTACAAAACAGCTTTCGGTACACTGTGCCAATGTAGGTGATGTTTCTCACGCAGAGGAACCGCCGGCAACGGTGACCGCACCGGAGTCCCCCGGCCCCGCCGAACACGCCCCCGGCCCCGCCGAACACGCCCCCGGCCCCGCCG